TTCCGCACTTATAGGTAGGAGTAATTAAATCGCTACTTACCAAACACCTGCAATCGACGGACTGACAGACCGAACGACACCCAGCCTGTTGTTAATTTAAAACGGACTCAGGACAAGTGGCAAAAGGGTGGTTAATGGTTAGGTATAATATATAATATTATTATTCACAACTGCCGGTGCATAAAATCGCCGAGATTGAACTCGGTATTGTACAAAGATAATTTTGGGAAACTTCACAAAACATTACCGGCGGCGTACACTGCAATGGCACTGAGAAAATTTGAAATTGAAATATTACGATATTGAGTTTTAATTAATATGCGGACTGTTCTTCCAGAACAATGTTATTGCAAAATGTTAATTATTTCCTAAATGGAATGTTCGTATCAACTCGGTTCGTAGCTTGTATTTGTTTTGAAAATATTATTTTAGATTCCGGAGAGCGAAGGGGCGTATTGATATCTTTTCTATACCTGTATACGAGAAATTTTGTTCTGATCATCGACATCGGAGATTAGATTATGTTACTGGCAGAAAATGGTTGACTAGTTGAGGAGGTCATTTTTTGATTTTCCGTGTCTTTTATGAAATAACGGAAAAAAACCGAGATAAAATGTCGAAAATAGGATAATATTTATACAAACACGCGTTTCCTGTTATTTTCGGTTTTGTATATTTTGTTTGTTTTGTAATTCGGTTAAAAAAATTAAAATCATAAAAGACCTGACACTTTCATTGAACATTTAAATCAGCCTATTATAGATGTAGTAAAATGTATTCCGAATTCTATTACGGCCTTTTTTTAGGTAGGCATTTATACTATAGCCATTTGAAATGCACCGTGTACCTATACGCTTGACGAATGGTACACATCGATGACAGCAATATGCCCCCGATTCCGTATTATTATTTTTCGCTTGCGATAAAAAAACAGCGAAAAGTCTTCGCGGGCCGTTGACCTTTGTTGTCGCGGTGCACAAATACGTACACACGTCGTATGTATGTATTCGACCACTTACCTGCTCAACCTATAATACTAGGTACACCTATTCGATGCGCGTTAAAATTAAAATATTAAGTTTCCGCACGGATTTTAATTCATTATATCACGTTATATTATTACGTTTATGTCCAACATTCCGCCAACCGCTCTATAATTATTGTCTACTTATTAGGTAGGTTCAAGTACCTACCTACTTAATGAACGCCTATAGTTTTACGCGCGTATACGAACACATGCGCTCGCGAAACACTATACCTACTTATAGCTTATAGCCTATAGGCAGGGTCGGCTTGAACGCGGTGAAAGCTGTACACGCGTACAGAGCCCCGCGCTTTTGGAAGCCCCGCGTCTAGACCGTTATTATCATAGCTAGGTAGTAGTTTTACACGATTATTTAGGAAAATATAAATTAAAATCAATGAACTAGGAATAATTGTATTGTAATGATTTATTTACGCTTGGTATTAGAAGATAGAAAGCAAAAAAAAAAAAAGAAAGAAAAAACCTTATCGAGGCCCCGCCAAAACGATTGCACGGGCCCTCAATATTTTCCAAGCCCGTGCAGGTTGTAGGTGCGAATAAAGGGCAATTTTGACTGGGCTTAGTTTTACCCGAATGCAAATTTTACATGTCTTTTAGTTATGGAAATTACCAAACAAACGCGAAAACACGTTGTTACACATTTAATCGAAAAAAAAAAACCGTTTATCGGCTGCGATACGATTGTGCGTGGTCCTTATCGGTAGTACCTTTTTAGGTGTACGACTGCGCGCGCTATAATATTTTTACTTCTATGCAACTTCGCTAAATACATAGATGCGCGGTAAATCGAATTTTATTTATCGGACTTATTATTTCCGATACCAGACAAAAATAAAAAAATGTCCATCACTTATCTGGAATTATTATTTTTACTGTAAATTCCCAAATAGGTACGAATACACTATAATATAATATATATATCTTTTATAAGTCCTCCTCCATATTTGTTAGTAGTGAATGGACACACATTTGGATACACCAGAGACAGCGGGCTGATAGATACCTATGTCAGATGGAGATGCCATAAAAAACAGTGTACGTCTACAGTATTAATGACAATTGATAATTCCATTTTAGAAAATGCTAGTGAGCATAACCAGTCTGCAGATTCAATTCAAAAAATCGATAGGCAAGTTTTACGTGAAAATCGCAAAAGAAAAGCAATAAGTTCCATATCTTCCCCGCAAATAAAATTAACCAATATTGGACTTATGAATAGCGTAAGTACCGCATTAAAGCATATAGATTTATACAATCAGTTAGAATGGCTATTTATATTGAACAAAGATAAGACTTCCCACCTACCTAACATCTGTAGAAGATGCCGTACGCAATTAAAGGAGTTACAAAATGAAGATTTTTTTAATTATTATATTTTATGACGTAGACTGAGTTTATAATAAAAATATTATAACATATTACAATGACATTCGACATCGCCGCTTCAAATATCGCGCGCAATCGTACACCGGCAAGCTTATCGTTGCTTACAGGTATACATTAATTTATCTAAAACCGTGGCTGCACCCGTCTCCATTATCCTAGGACGTCTTTTGTTTTTGTTTATCTTGTATCTTTCATTTTTATTTTATGCTAGATACTACAAATAAAGTTACCTTTATTTATTTTCGAAATGATAAAAAATATTGTAATGGATTTATTTTTTTTATTTAAGGATTTTTATTTTTATTTAAGATATTTTCTTTTTTGTTAATAGTATTTAACATAATTAAAATACTATTTTTGGTTTTCATGTTCGTAGAATGGTACTTTTATTCAAATCGTGATAATATAAATAATTTTTTTTCGCGTCCATGGCGACATCGTTGATTTCGCCTATTGATACTGTTGTCTGTATTACCACAGATCTATATATTATCCATCCATGGTTTTAGAATAGTTGTTTGTTATCAGCCTTAAATTATTATCGTAATAAATTTCAGTATTATAGTAAATTATATAACAATTAAAACTTACATTATATTCGTTTAAAAAACTTCCAAGAAGAAATTGTTAACAACATCATTATAAGTCGTATGTAAGTATTTAAATAATATTATCATCTAAAGCAGAAATCTGAATCGCTTTATCTTTAAGGGTAGAGCCGTGTCAAACTATTTAACGTCCCAGGGCAAACATTTGCAATTGCCTCTGTCCATCTTTATATTGCTTCACAAAGGTACAGTACCTATATTATGCGAGTTTGAAACACCCAAATCAGTAAAACTGATTCTACATAGCGTATAATATAAAATAAATAATTTATATAGGTAATTAGCCCCTTTTCCTAAACCTTGTTTTAATCGTGCCAAAGTTTCCGACTGCTAATATTGTTATTATTGTTAAACATCATGAACGTCATTATTATCAATACATTTAATGTACCACGAAGACGTACTATCTTCGTATACATATAGTAGATGTATTATATTATCTCCGGAGATAATAAAGATAGTCAAATTCTGATTTTCTTATAATACTCACAGGGATAAAGACTAAAAACATGTATAGAATATATAAATTATTTTTAAAAAACGTGGCCACTACATAAATTATGCTCCGCTACTCTACCCCTGCCTAAACGATTAAAAGTGGATTATCTCGTTAACGGATTGACGGAAATAAAAAATGTAAACACTGACATATTTTTAAACTACTACTCCATCTATTTATAGTATTTTTAATATAGGTTGCCATTTGAAAACCAAAAGTAGGTAGTCGTTTCACACTCAAAAATATAGGTGACATTAATAATGATAATGTAACATTTTAGAGCTGATCCTTAAATTTTCTAAACAAATTTTAAAAAGTTAACGCTTTCTGGTATAATTAATGTCTTCCCATAGATTGATCACTCTGTTATTGATTTTATTATTTTTTTGATTTGAGCCTCATTTGGTTTTTTTTCTCAATGTGGCTGTAGCCACGTGTTTGACATGCTTGATTTAGGTTTTAGATGAACAAATTCTGCACTATTTTGAATATTTATATTATTATCCTTTATGAAACACTAAAATATATTGGGTAGGTACGCATTACGTATTGAGCGCTTTTGACATAAATTTCGATGAAATAAACTAAGTTAAAACCGAAACAAACGTGTTTAAGTTAAGTTATGATGTTCCCGCAGTTTCTCTTTTTCGATTATTAAGTTCCGGGATAGATTTAGAGATACATTTAGATAAAAGTTATATATGAAAACAAAAGTTGTATTTTAATGAAATGTTATTATTTTGAATATAGTTATAGTGCACAGAGGGATTTTGAGAGTGCATGCACAAAAGTATCTATCTTTGTATTTTTCTAATGGTTTTTTGGGCTTTGTAATACCAATATACCAATACTTCCCTCGAGAGTCGAATGAATATTACTATTGGTAACCAGTCTGTGTGTTACTGAGTATCACTTATTTCAATCTAATACAGTAACTAGTAATTACATAGGTTTTATCTGTATGGGTTAAGCCATATAGAACACCTATCTATATTCGATAAAATGTGACCAAAGACCTAGAGGCAAACGTAAAAATAATTAATAATTTTTACCATGACGTCATAATATGCGATAGTCGTCAACGTCAAAATATCTATTAGAAAATATATTATTCGTTTTTAATAAATCATTTTTTTCATAAACTAGTAATATAAAACAAATGATATGATTGTTTTTTCCAATCCTATCTAATTTATTGTACGTATCACTTAATAAGTTATAACATAGGTAAATACATAGGTATAGGTAAGTGCGCAATAATTAAAATAAGCGTATAGGTAGTATTTAATTGAAATGTATTTAAAATTCAATATCAACGAAATGAATAGTGTTGATTTTTTACGTATTTTCTTTTAGGTGGTTTGGTATGAATTAAGTTCTGATAAATATTGCAGTTGAATAAAAAGAAAAAGCTCGCGGTCATCATTGATATCCTAAAATTAATAATAGAACTAATGCATCCATGAATTCAAAACGGAAATTCGTAGTTTATAAAACTAATGAAATAAAACGATCCGAAAGGCTTTCTCGAAAACATAGTTTTCAAAATGAATCAATTATTATCGAAGACGATTTGGACGATCCTAATAAATCGAATACTGGGAACAAAAAAAGATTTAAAAAGTCTCATTCTAATGAAACCAAATCGAAAAAACATACGACTCCCAGTTATAGTGCTAAAAAATTAAATGATCGCATTTCAGTTCCTGAAATAACTGTAAAGAACAGTACGAATAACAGTGATTTTGATAACGCATTAAATACTAAATTGCCTTTAAGCGCTATTGTAGAAACCGAAGCTTTAAATGTGTTTACAAAGAATCGGTCAAAAACTCTTAAAAATAAATTATCTCAGAAATCGATTAGTTCCATTACAAAATCGTCTGTGACACAGTTGAATGTAAAAAAAGACGATGATGCGGTACCTAATGAACTTAATGAAGAAAACGACGATAGCTTTGTGTTTACTCGGAAGCGTGGCCGTCCCTCACTGAAAAAAATAAAATTACAAAAACTTGACGATATAGTCAATACTTGTCATAGCAAAGTGAACCATAAAAAAACTGAGAATCTGTCGGTGATTGTTAAAAAACTGCACAATGTAAATAAATCAACGTTTACGAAAATTCTTGATGATAATACAGCGAAAGTTATTAGCGTTAATGCCAATAGCAAACCGCAACAAATTTCTAACAATTTGACTGGAAATAAGTCATCTGGTAATGGCGAAATTGAATCTGAAAAGTCGTGTAATGTGGAAGGTAATATAAACAAACCTGAAGTTTTTGTAAAATTAGACGAACGTATTGTGTCCACAGAAACCGCCCCTGTAAGCGCTGAGTTACTGTCTGATGCAAATGACGAACAGCTAACCAACGATTTAGGAACACTCGAACGTGATATTGATCTTCTTTCAAAACGTTTCGCGATTCCATCCAAAGACATTAAACATATGGTTATAGAAGAGTCTATTTCTGTACTCCGTGAAAAATATTCTGAATCAATCACTCCGTCTATGATAACAATATCACCAATTTTGACGTATGATTTTGAAGATAATTTGGTACACGATGATAAGTCTTATAAAATAGAACCTATTAGAGAGAGTACAGCCCACCTAAAAACCAACTTGAAAGATTTAATGGACGAGCTTACAAAAACGATGACTTCGTGGAGCTTGAGCATTGTCAATGACCCACCGAGATACGTAATCGCTCAAATGTCAATTGATATGTATGGTATGCCTAATGCAAGTAAGTCTATTGTGTTGGATAGATACTTTAGAGCCTCGGTTTACATTAATCAGTCATTACAATATAAATACTGCAAACGTTATGAAACAGCGGCTGAGATTGTAAAACTTATAAAAGTGTTAAACAGTGAAAAGTTATAGATATTTTTTATATTATATTTTTATGTACATAAAATAATTTTTTTTTTTACACCCATATTATGTATATATTACATATTGTATTATATATTATTATATTGTATAACACAAACCATGTTTGGAATAGATATAAACGAGTATTTTGTTATTAAATGTATATTATTATCGATTTATAATGGCAACGAATTAAAAACGCATTTTTTTTCATACTAAAATAATTACTTCTCCATAAATAATCTATACAGTTGTGGTGGCAGTGGTAAATTTGTTGAATTTCGAAAATTATTTTTTCATGCATTTCTGAATGGTATTTGTCGACTAAAACTAGTGTTGATATTACAGGCTTTTTTTTAAAAAAAATGTATTTTTATTTATATACTATCTACGCACATAAACCTAGCTTAATAAAATACACGATTATCTACTATAATACATTTTTACATTTTAGAAGTAGAACGACGCGCGGCGTTTTAAAACTTGGAAGAATATAAGAATGGAAATAACTGTTTTTAGTGGCAAGTTCAGACAGTAGACTGTATAAAGTGATTAGACCTATTAATTCTGTTGAACATAAAAATTGAAACATTCAATTAAACATTGAAAATGTTATAAATATGTAATTACAAGAGTACAAAATAAATTACGATGATCTGTGTTTAAGTGAATTTTAACATGAAACTGAAATTTTGAATTTAAATCACTTTTAAATAACATTTTTTTAAAAATAGACTACGCCGGATAAAATATAAAAATTGATTGAAAACCATCTATTAGTTTTGCAACCGAAAAGACGATATTATTATATAAAGAATAAACCTAAACGTTTTTTATTGTAGGGGATCATTTCGAGAGCTTTTACGCATCGGTTTGAAATATATTATTTAATAATAGTGGATACGTGTCGATGTATCAGTACATCAATAAAATAAATATCGGAGAGGGTAAAATTATTGTCGTTGTGTATTGTGTAGCCTAATACCCTTCTTTTAGGACGGTACACATTTCAACGTCGTCTCCAGAAACTTGGGTAAGTATTATTGTGTACCCGAGTACTTCTAAAATATTCTAAGCACGAAGTCTGTTTTCTTTGTGTGCATAGAAGAATAGTCGTCTCACCCTTACAACTGTATAATATTGAGTGGCCAAATCCGTTGAATATGATCTAATTGAGTTAAAAAATAAACTTCAACTTTGATAATAAGCTAATATTATAATGTTTCATAGTTAATTACTTTTTCATGTAAATTTATAATAAATTACCAACATTGTGAAAAGATAACTCAAAAATTATTTAAAAATAAATATAAGGTCATAAATAAAATGAACTGTCACCTAGAAAAATGTTATTTTAGGTATGTAAACAAATAAATAAGATCGACCAAATAGATATTATTGAAAAATCAAACGCAACTTATGCCACACAATATGAGTTAACTGTGTAATACATTGTATTCAATATATATTTATCTTATGACATATATATTGTTTAAAAAGCAATTCTAATAACTCAGAATTGTTTTAATTGTTAATGATGATTAAATCAGCGAATCTTCGCTTATAAATATACAATAAATTCTTCTTTATATCTTATCTTCTCAACTTTTTATCTACACCAGATGTCCACCATCGTGTGATTGTCTTTTTACTAATAACTATAATTCGTACATTTGTCCGTTTTTTCTCATTAAACATCCGTTGGGCGTATGCGTATAGGTTTATTGTAAATTTCTTCAATTGCACATTTATAATGAGTTTTAACGGTGTCTTTGTGGTCGTAGAATCTGGTGTGAGGGCACACCTCGTACCCTCTCCATTGGAGAGTCTCCAAGGCACGACCCTGCCTACACCGACAACCAAAGCGATAAACATGTACGGAAAACTCACGCAATTTAAAATAATAACACAAGAAAAATACAATGCTGTCGAAAGTCGGTTGACCACTCAAAGGCACCTCGTTTGTAAAAATGCATGCGGGTCTCCCTATTTCAGATATCGTTGAGCCTAACCCTAGCCAGGGGGGATCGGGACCGCAGAACACTTTTTTGAGAATCAGGTGCTGATCAAAAAATCTGATTTAATTTAAATCTAGTTTAAACCATCGAGATCGGTGGTTTTTTGAATTTCAATACAAAAAACCAAACCTGAACAGTATAATATATGTATATAAATGTTTATTACATTTTTGTAAACGCGGTTCTTCTACGCCCGTGCTAGGGAAACGTTTCCTTAAAAAGTTAATACTTTCCGAGATAATGAGTTTATTGATTTAAATAGAACACCTACGAGCGATACATACAAATGTTCCATTTTACACCTATTTTTTACACACATTTTATCCTTTCCTTCCAGACTTCTCAACTTTTGTTTATACCCAAATTGATCGTCTAATAATGCGAGTGCTCACGAAACGTTCCTCCGACACGCGCGTAGAAAAACCGCGTTTTCTTGTGTTTTGAGGGTTGTACAGCATTTTTTTTTTTTTTTTGTTTTTTGTCTAAAAATGTAGTTACATTGCTAAGGTTCGGTATTGAAAGTGGCTGCAGTGACGCGGAGACGTGTCCGACTGGCTTTTCTCGTCTCTGTCTTCTGTCTTACCAAATATTATTTTTCGTGTATTGTTGTCGGTAGTCCAAAAACAGTTTAGAATTACTTCTCCGGGATCTGAGGTCATCGACCTCCCACGTTAAGCCATGTTCGAAAACCCAACTCCTCGAGGTAACTTTATTAATAATATAACATTATGACCGCAATCATAGATTATAAATAGCGTAGATCGCTTGTTGGCACCGGTTTTTTGGCGATGTGAAAAAAATACCCAACAGATGGCGATAAGATAATCAAAATAATAATTAATCGGGCTATTATTTTGGCTGCCACGGAAGTGTGCTACGGGTGCGGGGAAAACTCATTTCACTCGTGACTCGTCGCTTGAACGGGTTCCGCGTGGTTTATTTTTAGTTGTACAATGATTATAGAGCTCGGTGATAACTTTATGCATATATTTTAAACACAACCAGAATTACACCAGAATTTGATGTAAATTCCGATTAACCGAGTCTAGATTTTGAATGCGCAAACTCATTTTGTATACATTTGCATATTTGACATTTTTAAGCATTAAATTCACAATGTTGATTATTACTAGATTTAGTAGCATATTTATAAATATTATAAATATTATAATATTATTACAATTTTCCATGTTATAATACCATCAATTATCATCAATCATTATGTTTATGAATACGATCTGTAGAAAATTATTCACAATAATTAAAATCCCCTTTATTCGTTTGTGTGATAGCCTGATTAAATTCATACAGCAAAACAGTTGATGGATAAAAGCTACGAATTTAACCAGGATTTATTTCTTCTATTCGTAGATTACAAACAAGCTTATGACTCAATCACCAGAAAACCTTTATGGTCTGTGTTGCTAAAATTTGGAATCCCGGTGAAATTGGTTAAGGTAATACGAATCTGTGTTACAAATTAAAAGTGTAAGGTTAGATACAACCGACAGATATCGGATGAATTTTGCGTAGAAACTGGTTTAAGGATAGGGCGATGCGTTATCCTCCATTCTATTCAATATAGCAATAGAGTATATATAGTAAAAATTCAGAAAATCACTCAATTAATTATAGCGGCACATGCAGATGATATTATGATTGTAGATGAATCAGAAGCAAACTTAAAAACGACAACAATGAACATGATCATAAAAAAAGTATGAATATGAAATATAAAATAACTATAATAATATAAATATAAATTTAAAATAACGAAATCGTGAAAAAATCGTATTATTTTTCTCGGTTAACCATTTTTATTTGAATACTGTTTCGAAAATCAAAAAAAGGCCTATGTATTTACCAAGTAGATAAAATTGACTTTCAGAAAAGATGCTACACTTATACATCGAAGCAAGTTTTCTAGGATAAACGTGGTCTGCAGTATAAAAAAAGAAAATAAAGTACCATTGTAAAAAAATTAAAAAAAGGAAAAGAAGTGGTCAATGATTTTGAAAATTTTACCACGTCTAGATAAGTCTAATATAAGTATTATTATCAAGTTTCAAGTATCTGTGTGTATTTATAACCGAATTATAGCAAAAAACTCCCAAAAATTAAAATGTCTTAAAAACTCAAAAGTTTTGGCGATGATACAGTAAGAAAGTAAATCAAAATAAGTATCCTGTGATTTTTCGATTAAATCATTTTTTCGGTCGTAAAATTGTACGTTTTCCTACGTTTTTTCGCACTTAAGTTCTTTTATTTTGAAAATTGCGTTTTCAAATCAAAAAATTACCTCTCTAAGGTACAAACTAGACACCTCGAGTTTCAGAAAAGTTGCTACACGTAAAAGTCGGAGCAAGTTTACTATGAATAAACGTGTCGACTAAATAGAAGAAGAAAAAGAAATAAATATCTTAGTAAAACCAATTGCTCACTTTCTACGCTCGGAATCTAATATGTATAAAGTGCTGTTTAGATCAATTCATTCATATGCCAGCGAATCGTGGCCGATAAATGATGAAAAAAAGTTAGCAATATTTGAAAGAAAAATATGAAGACGAACAATTGGTCACAAAAAGAACAATAAAAACCAGCGAATATGAGTGAAGAACTTATGATGACTTGAGTAAATTGTACATTCACCGGACATAGTTGCAATCATGAAGAGTATGACGGGTTGGATGGGCTGGTAATTTCTGGCGAGCAGAAATAAGACTGTTAAATAAAATAACTGCCGTTGGGACGACCGAAACAGTGATGACGTGACCGTGTGCTTCAGGACCTGAATATGATATGAATAGAGATTCCGGAAGAAATGGAAACGGATGGGCCGAATAAGTGACATAGTTACGGCAGGAGCCTGAACGGCCTATTAGGAAAAAAAAAATAGCGTTGAAATGTAAAAGCGAGTCAGAAAATGACGGTCTTGTTTAATAATTTTTTTGGTATTTCGTTGTCTATTAAGTCGTATCGCGTAGTATTAGTAATATATGACTTTATTTCATGAGTTGCGATTGGCATAGCTGATAGTGGCTACACGATAGAGGCTATGTCGTGAACTCATCGTCTACTTCCTCTTCCTCGTCGTCGTCCACGGAGCGATTGTTGTTGTTGTTTTTCGACGACTTGGCTTCGCCGATCACGTTCGTCTTCCATACCTCGGCCGGCTGATCCACGTCGTCGTAGCACGTCTTGTCGTCGTCGCACACCTTGCCCAACGGATACGCGGTCAGGTAGTCGACGCCGCGGCTGGTCTCTTGCACCAATACCGGGTCCACGTAGCGGTCCCCCGGCCGGCTGGTGACGGCGTCGCCCGAAGAATCGTACCCAACGCCCGCGATGCCGCGGCCGGACACCGACGACCGGGACTTTTTTCGGTACGGATTGTGCCGTTCGGCCGCCGACACGGGCGTACGGCTGAACGCGGCGTTCGGACCCCCGCCGCCGGGCTGCGGGCGCGTCGTGGCCGCCAACCGGACGGCCGAACGCAGTCGCCGGAACACCGCGTTTTCGTTGCCGCGTTCTGCTGCGTTACTGTCCCGGTTATCGGCGCCCTTGCCGTCGTTTTTCGCGTCTCTGTGTGTATGAAAAATAAATCCGTGAATGCAGAAGAGCTCGGTCACGACAGTCGAATTTCCCCCTGCCGACGTTACGATATTTATTTATTTATTTTTTTTTTTTTTCTAGATTCTGAGCTCATTTATAATATCGAACTAAAACAGTTAATTAAACAGTTGGTTAAACAGTTGACAGAGGTGTGTTACGCGTTTTGGCCTATTGCTCAAGCCGGTATGTACCGCGAACACACGGTCATACCAGTGGCGACGTGGCGTTGCCAGGAGGAGGTAGGTAACGGGATTATCGCTCTCCTCCCGTGGGTAGCATTTATGTGTTTACTATATTATTTACTGCTTTACGATTCGGGTGTTTACTTCGTGGCAGTGGTATATTACCACTTTTGATATAACATCAAGAAGAGTGTGCGATTTTAAAATCTTTAAGCACCGTACCATAATGACATCTATCAAATAAATTATATAATTTGTTTATGGTTCTATCATAAATAACATAATTTTAATTTTAGATTCAGAGTGAAGCAAAGAAGCTTATGGTTTTACAACTGTTTTATCCGCGGACAACTTTTCTACCAGAGTATACGCTCCAATGTGTATGATGTACACATTTTTCTGAAAGGAAATTTTAATGGAGAGGTACTTTAAGGAGGTTAGTTTTCGATTTTATCGGGAGTTTTCTCAACAAAAGTGAAAAACCGAAAAAAAACGGAAAAATGTACGAAATATATTAGGAAAATATTACGATTTTTTTTGTTTTGTGAACAACTTTTCTACGAGCAATTTTGCTCCGATTTACAATGATAGCACTTTTTCTTAAAGTAAATCTGACCGGGGAGGTACATTACGGAGGTTATTTTTCGATTTTCTTAAAAGTCCCAGCAAATGTGAAAAACTGGAAAAAAACATGGTAAAACCCGGAAAAACTTAGGAAAATCGGTACATTATTATTAAAGAAAATATGTAATGACTATTCAATTATTTTACCATAATATGATATATATTGTTGACAAAACATCACTATTAACTGAACTCCTCTCAGAACTGTTTTTCCGTTAGCAATGCTTTATCGTATGCTTACGTACAGGACATACCTTACATTTGACAAAAAAAAAAAAAAGTTCATGGGGAGGATATCACCCCCATCGTCCCTTTTAAAAACTACCACTGTTACGTGAACGGCCAAAGCATAACGTGGAGAAATTAAAACTTAGAATACAATAATAATATACACTACGATGATACGCGACGTCATTATAATTTTGACATTCCAAGTTGGTTAAAAAAAAATGTCTGCATATGTTGATCTCCCACCAAAAATTGCGTCTAAAAATTGTAAGCCCGAATATAATTTTAGATAATATACTATTTAACCCAACTTTTTCATTGTATAGTATTTCCATTGTAATTTCCATATTTATGTGAGAAAAGTTCTGATCACCTTGTAAATATCATACTAGTGCACACGAATGGCCTCTTAAATCCAGCTTGTGGTCCATACATTTTTTAGCTTTCTGGGTATTCCGAATATATTTTGTGCATTTACACCTTTACAAATTACAAGTATCATAAGTACTCGAATCACCACCTGTATCCTAAACACCCCATTCTACTAGTAAATCATACACACTTTCAGCTTGTTGTTCTCCAGTTCCAGCAGACAATTTTGGAACACGGAGTAGTTGTTCACATCCTTGAGAACTTATTATTACTAGTAATCGCTCCACTAAATCTTTCCCAGTTAGTGAAGGGATCATTTTTTTTTATCCCAATGAATAATTGCGTTTTCAAATAAATTACTTTCAAATGCTTTGCGTAACTGAGTTGATTGTTCTTTACGTAACTTTTTTCGAACTCTATGAATTGAATAATGGTACGATTTCTATGTTTTCTACAATTTTGTACTTATTAAAAAAAAAATATAGAAATTATCTCGAGAAAATAAAAAAATAAAACTTAACTTCAAAAAAAAAAAAAATCAAATACACGTTAAGTTAATATTTATTGTATTATATGTATAATGTATATAATATAAAAATTATATAGCACATCACATGTAATTTTATAGAGTGAAATTAAATTTAATATACATCATTACAAAAATTAATTTGAAGATATAAATTAAAACATTGACCAAGTTAATATCCTAGCGTTTTTCGTTTAGCATCAGGAAACCGTCGATGATATTCAATATGGAGCCAAAGTTGTAGGTAGGAAATTTGAAAGGTAAGATAGATGGAAGGTAAGAAGATGGAAGGACGTGAATTTAATATACTTCTACGATAAACCATTTATAATGCAAAAAAGGAATCTGAGCGGAGTTCAGTTGATAGTGTTGCTTTGTCAACAATATTTATATCATATTATAGTAAAATAATTACATTATATATTAAATATTTTTTTAAATTATATTTGTTTAATATTGTACCTATTTTCCGGTTCTTCCACTTTTTCTCCGTTTTTCCCCTGTTTTTCCAATACATTGAGAAAACTCTTGAGAAAATCAAAAAATGACATTCCTAAAGTACCTCCCCAAACTTTTTTCTAGAAAAAGTGCTTAATTATTATAATCCTGAGCAAAATTGCTGGTAGAAAAAATATTAACAGATAAAAAAAAAATAAAAATAAAAATAAATATCATTTTAAAATCAATGTATTCCTTACTCCAATTAGAATCTTAAATAAAAATTAAACCAAACATTTAAACACAATTTTTGAAGAGGAGAAATAAAATAAAATGGCTGATACTGCTGATGGTTGCATCACTGTTTAAAGAGGGATTCCTAAAAGAAGGATGTATAGAATAATTTAATTTATAAGCTATTGATAATAAAAAATGATTATCAACAGTGTATTATTAGTTTTTTTTTTTTTAATTTCATGGTAACCCAGAAATCAACATAAATACCGAAAATTTCTAATTTTTTAAAAACTTACATCCGCAATGCATCAACTGGAATAAAAATTATACAAGAAAGTTTCTGTAAAGTTTTTGATTGGAGCATGATTCTGATATAAAAGTTGTTTACAGACAAAAAAAAAAGAAAAACCAATAATAAAAGCGATACCATTCCTCGCTCGGCTCAAAATATAAACAAGTGAGATGAGGCTACAAAAAAATAAAATAAATCGATTTTTGTTGAATATAAAGCTTTATAATTTAACAAGTAAAATCAATTAAATCTATTAAAAAATTATCATTAAAAATGTATAGTAAACCTACAGTGAAAAAAATAATTGATTTTTTTCAGTGATATAATTTATATATTTTATGTATATTCAGAGAAACTTACCATAGTGTGTAAACAATTGATTTAAAAGTTGGTATTTGTAATAAAACTATTCATGATTATGTACATTTTCAAACCAATTTTTTACATACAACGGTAAGTATCAGTGAAATGTTAAAGGGAGCTAATAAAGAAAATATATAATGCGTGTGTACTTATTTTACTATAATTTGACATAGAATAAATTGTTGACAAAGCAACACTAACAACCGAAATCCGCTCAGAATCGTTATTTGTCGGCAATATGGTTGATCATTGCTTACAGATATTCATTAAATTCCCGTCCGTATCCTCTCTTCCCAACTTCCCACCTACAACAGTGGCTGCACCCACGTGCGAAGCATGTCCGTCTTTTTAAACGTTTTTTTTTTTTAGAAATTTAAATCTCTCGGCTCTTTTCGTCCGGCCTTTGTAATATTATGTTTATTACTGTCGTCGGGCGGGTAGGTCACTCACTCGCGACGTACAGGCATGTAAGCAGAACGTATACATACGGATACGGGGCGGCGACGGCGACGTTGCTGTAAATCGTCGATGAACTGCAACATAATAACGATAATAATATCATCGCCGTATCGCGCATTGTTGTCGTGTCGTCGTCGAATATGATTGGTATCGGGAAAACAGCAACACCCGAACCTTTTTCCGAGAGGTCGTACGGAAAATACAATGCGTATAGGAATTAGCGACGACGTCAAGTTACAATATTATTGAAACAATATAAATAATACGCACAATAAATATAGGTGTAACGAAGACGACGCGCACAAGGCCAAATGGTCAATTTACGACGACAAAAATATAAAACACAATTTTATTTGATATTCTCATTGTAAATATTGTAAATATATAATTTATAAGGAGAGAGCTTCAGAATATCTTAAAAAAAAAAAACAATAAACAGTTTATTAGTATTAATTAGTTGATTTACATTTAATTATTTCTGTATTGTGAATGAACGATATAAAAAAAAAATAATGTGTATACAAATTTTATTTCACAAATTATACATTATTCTACATCTATCGACCATTCTCATCATCATCACTTAATTTCGGGTCAATATTAATATAAATTTATTTATGGGACGATACTTTTTTTTTTATAAAATTTGAGCCCCCCAGAATAAATCAGCCCAGAGCTACTAATTTCATTATTCCGACTCTGGCAGTGGATAATGCGCTACAGTAATTATTATTATATGTCACTATAAGTATCGTGTGTGTATGTGTTTGTGCACGTGTCATTGATGTGCTCGGGGATGGTTGCAGTTTTTTTGTTGTACTGCTGTTATATTGTTGCTTGTTGTTGTTGTTTTTTTTTTTTTTTGACAGGTTCCCCGTGGATTTTCTTTTAGTACACAGGTATAAGTTGACCTAACCCACTATGTAACGGTCGGTCATGGCGCAGAGAGATATAATTATCACTTATCCAAATCTGGGCGTTTTTTTATGAGATTTTTTTTTTTATTTCGGTTTACAAACGAACGTAATCTTTTGATGAGCCGGTTTACGGTACTGCCGTCGTTGCCGACAAAGAACAATATTATTCAACAATAGATCAGAATCGAAAAAAAAAATATAATACTAATTATCCATATTATATTATATACGACGTGGCTTTTATTATATAAGTAAAACGAATATTATGGGCAACGTCGAGAGGCGTTGATCTAAAGAATACGTCGGTGGTGGTATTTGTGAAAAAAAAAAATCCTTTTGGTTTTGAATGAAAACAATAATGCTTGAAACTTTATAGATTCGACAGATTGTATCGTATAATTTATTATGTATAGGTACATAATATCTGAAACGTTGCAGACTACCGTACCACAACGCTTTCATAAGGTAAGCTCTATACCAATTAATGGTGTGATTAGAGGGGGGGGGTTATCCCCTCTCAATTAGCTCGAAAATACAATACCTATAAGTATTTATTTAGTTATTAAATCTTGAAATTTATACCATTTCAGTCAACAATTACCTGTAAGGAAAAGCTTTTTATTTATTGGTTAAAAATTAGCGTTTTTGGACCCGGTATTAAAATGTCAATAGTCGAGTTGGTTAGAGAATATTTCATAGTTTACTCATGATTATTATTTACTAAATTAATAGAAAATTATTAATGTAATACTTGTTAATTTATAGTAGTTAAGTATAGTAATTTATTAGGTACTAATGATTGCATTGAGCTGTGGTTTTGATTAGATTGTAGATACAGTAGAATACAATGTGCAATAATTGTACGCTGCAGTATGCGGAAAAATAATTTGAACATGTATAAATTATATTAATTTCAAAGATACAAAACAAATTATTGCGGAGTTAGTAACCAATAGATTCGATTATTTATACTAGGTAGATAACAATTATTCAATGAATTACAAACAAGATGCAGTTTATATAAAACTAGATAGGTAGTATAACACTAGGGAAGTATTTATTTTTAACCTAACCTTACCTACTACGTATTTCGTTATTTATTTTTAACGACAATTGATAATTTCAGAGTTAATTTGATTAATTAGTATAGAATACTCGAAGAGTAAGGTAGATCTGTACACCTAATAATACGTAGTATAATAATACGTTTGAGTTGACTTGTTGAGTAATGCGTAATATACTATAGTACCTATACTTAATTATACCGGCTTGGTTGGTAGGTCGGTATTTTGTTTGAATAATTTATAGTCAAATTCGAACTAAAAAAAGTATCATTATAATAAATATGTATATCATTAAACATTATATATCTAGACTCTAGACATATAGATACCTACCTAACCTAACCTAACACAGCTTAAGTTTTAAATATTGTTTCATTTATACTACTGTATAATAAAACTCAAAACGCAATATTATGACTATTATTAATTTCTAGGTAAGTTTTCGAATTAATTTGTAACATATTCTTAGAATAATTGATAGGATTATACATTCTACAACACCTTTTCTATCCGAGACTGGTATTTTTGCAAGCTCAGTAAAAGGAGCTGTCAATTTGGACGACCCATTTGAAACTAGGACATTTGACAATTTGACACCGAATATAAATGTTCTTTTGCGTAAACTTTAGAAGGAATATCGAAATTATTTATAGTATTTTCTTTCATCGCATTTAAGGCACGAAATGCTTCAGATTTGCAGAATCAGGACAATGTTGTTGATATTTTAAAATTATTGTTTTGGATGAATTTATTGTAACACTACCTTTACAATGTTTCTTTCGTTAAGAACAAGTATATCTAGGGCCATCAACTTTCTTTTAAAAAATATACATATAATCACTAACTATTAATTTTGTTATTATTATTATAATTGTATCGGGGCATTCTGAGTCCATACAAATTGTATCTTATGAATCTGTTACTTTTTAAATAAATCCGTTAATTTTAATTTTTAACGGACGGCGATACGGATATGGTTGGATAACCAACAGAGTACAGACACTAACTAGTAACTATAGTCTATAGATACTTAACTACTCACGGTTACCGTAATCGTAATCACTCGGTGTCAATTGTCCGTGTTTAAAAAATATCGGGTGCAAAAATCCCGATAGCAACAAAACCGTCAGGTGCCAATTGTCCGAATACCCATTTCGACACACGTGGTCCTAATTTTTTCACAAATAATTTATTTAGAACACTAATCCGTGAAGCTGAATCAATTATCAGACGGACAATAAGAACTTGACCTCAACTGACTTTTACATAATACTCCACGGTTTCAATTTGAAATTATTTAAAATTAATGGGTTCGAGTGCTGGGTTATCATTACTACTGCACCTTTAAGATAAAATTGATTTATGAGGGCTTTCGAGGATCGTACTAAATTTAATTTTGGTCGTACAAAATTCTACAGAATGAAGTACATAATACTACATGGTTGAAATGTATGATTTTGAAAGTACAGATGTCAGAGTACCGCGCTTAACAATTACTTTATACTACGCTAATTTTTAATTGATTAGTTTCAATAACTTTCGAATGAAGTTTAGGGCTTACACCAGTGTCTATGTGTTTATCAATATTTGACAAAAAACGGAAAGAATCCGTAATAATGTCATCATTTTCAACTGCTTCTGTTATTAACGATTTTTGGAATTGGCTCTTTATGAATTTTTAAATTATCTGCTTTACAATTTTGCTTTGTGTATATAATACTCAATGCGCTTATAAATAAAAACATAATATAAATTGAATAAAACGTCATTGGTCGGTGAAATTATTTTGAGTAAAAACCAAACTTAAAATGAATCACGATTTAACACGATTCAACGATTTAAATATTCCAAAAAATTATGTAAAATAACAACTTGATAAATTTTCAATGACATTTAATCCAATAAAAATGTCACGCAAACATTACTATATTGGAACAACTCCAAATAAGTTAACACTATATTACGAGAATACGTGTATAATTTTTTTCTTCGTTATTATTTATTATAGAAATTACTACGGTGGCGATACAAACAGAAATAAAACTGGTACGACGAATGTTTTGTGAACAAAAAAGTTACTATGTCCAAATTTAAGTTTTTGTTTTAAGCAATTTAGTTTTGCATTGTTATCTATATAAATACTATATCATTATACGCTCGACTTTTCCTATTTTTCTACAGCCTTGGGCTACCGACTAGAATAATAAAATATTAAAAGCATGCGTTCATAATATTTTGTGGTTTTTTTTTTGCAAATTACATGTCGGCATATTTCGGTAAGATTACCCTAGTATGTCGAATACTAAAATGGCGCCACTGATGTCGAAGTCTTTGGCGCAAATTGGGTTCATTTTTGAGGTGCTAAATGTATGTAACACTCATTGACTTGTGAGGGTCCATACACAATCAGATATCATTCCTCAATCTTTTAATAATAATAATAATAATCTTTTAAGTAGAATTCGGTATTTCATATGATATAATGCTATTACACTCCTTTTTATGTTTAATATTGATCAATTTGTAAAATTCTGTTGCTACATAAATTCTAAGTCTCTTTGCTCTCAGTGGAGTTTTTAGACGGCAAATTGACGATAAACACTTTTAAAAACGTATAAACATTTAGAAATGTGTTCATTAATAAAGTTTTAGTTTTATTATGTTGAAGTACAACTAAAATTACTGGTTTTACTCAGTGGTGAATCTAAAGCTCAATCAAGGAGGGGGTGATTTAAAAATTGTAATAAACCATAAAATATCGCGAGGAGTTACTTCGTCCCGAAAAAAACAACCAAAACAGTTACCATTTTTTTTTTTTTTTTTTTTTTTTTATAATTCTTCTCTTTGAGAATTGCAAAAAATAGTTTATAAGAATAAATTATAATTAATAATATACAAAAAAAAAAAAAACAAAATTATGCATACATAAATATAATATATATGTTACGATCAAAAGCCGAAATCGGGCAAATCTCAGAAATCTGAAAAATTTAAATTTATGGACGTTATAGTTGGTCACTACTACATAGATTTGCCCGTGAACAAATCCGAAATATGACGTTTTGCCCAAGTATGGTGTACATTTCGCGTTTGACTCGGGCATTTCTGAGATTTACACGATTTCGGCTTTTATCCGTGACATAATATAAGTACATAATATGTATAAACTATGTATTCATATCGAACAATTATGTACACAAATATTTACAACAATTTTAAAGCAATATAAATCTTTTTTCCCTTACAAACCAATCTATGATAACTACAGTTAGGACATCTACATCGATATCCCAATATGTATTATAGATGAAAAATTGCCCTAGTTATACATGTATATTTTTTTGCAATGATTAACCATTACTAACGAAAAACAATTCTGAGCGGAGTTCGGTTATACGTGTTTTAAAAGGCTGTAATATTTAGGATTTTCGACAAAATTAAAACTACACAAAACTTAACTTTTTCATGTTGACCACTAAGTACAACTTATAATTAATCTCGTGTTAAACTTCCGAACATTTCTGTCTGGTCTAACAATTTTAACTACGAATTACCTACCAAATAAATATTACGTAAAAAACTCGTAAAATTATATCATCTATAAATAGCTCAAAAATGGCTCAAATGTTTTGAAAATTTCACTAGGTACGTCAATAAAAGATAAACATAAGGTTTTTGTCCAAATTTAAAGTCTATGAACATGTTTAGCTGAATGACAACAACAACAAAAAAAAAAAAAAACAAAATTGAAAATAATAATAGCATTATTTTCGTAAGTTTTCCCTTTTTTCCTGATTTGAAACTGTTTGGAAAATTAAAAAATGTCCTCGTTCCGCTCAGAATTTAAAATCTAATCACATTTGTCCGAGCAATCAACTATTATATTATTAGTAGATGATAGAATATATCGTTAATTGTCGACTATCATTCTATCAAGTACTAATAAGGTTCACATTGTAAAATAAAAAAAAAAAGTTTAATAATACTAAAGTCGTATTTATATAAATAATAAATATTTTAAGGGAAAAAAACGTATAACTATTGTAACGAAATTGTTTATTATGATCATTGTTATTATTTTACACGGCATTGTATTTATTTACTCTATTTTTAAATTAATATTGAGTAATTGTAACGACATTAAAAACAAAATATGAATTTTATAACCGCAAATGATGGAGCTGAAAACCATATTGGTTCTGTTGACAGCGATAAAGCGTCTTACTACAGCATTTCCGATGAAAACTATACGAAAACAACGGCTAAAGACGATGTCGAGAAAATCGAGACTTTGACAAAAGTTATCAATTATACTAAGTCCAACAGCAGTTCTTTGAATAAAACTTCAGAAACTGTGGATATACATTCCCGAGAATCGAGATCCTTATCCTCAATAGATGAAATAGATGATGATCGTAATAATTTAAGCGTAAAAAAAGCCTTAAGTCTTATGACCATTAATGATTTAGATCAGTTCATAAATGTTTATAAAATAATCACAAATCCGGATCCGAACATAGACAAAACAATAAAAAAAGCCAGTATGGACCAATTACTGTCCGGGGAACTTTTAAACAGAGAAAACTTCCACAACTTGTATGAAGCTGAACCAGAAGAATTAGCCGCAGAAGAAGAAGTGAAAGATAAAGTAGTTAATGATTATACATTTTTTGACGTTTACGATCATATTGAAGGATGGAAAAACCGCATACTACCTATGTTAAACCAAATTGAAAATATAAATCAAGAATATAAAACGATCGGTCCGCAGGACGCTACAGCAGATAATTTAAAAGTTCACGAAGAGCCAATTCCGAATTCGTTAATAAAAGAAGCAGTTGAAAATGATGACATTATTACGGATTCTTTCCGTTTTTTGTCAAATATTGATAAGTACATGGGCGCTGGTGTGCTAAGTCCTAAATTTCATTCGAAAGTTATTGAAACCGATCAATTAAAAACTAGCTATGATGAAATTAAAAATAGTGATGGAGTTTTACAATCTGATAAAATATCAAAATTGCAAATTCCCATTAAACACGGTAGAGTTACAACCAAATATCTGTCATCCCAGCGAACCCTTCTGATTCCGTCCAACACTTACTTACCAATTAGCAATGAAACAAACGTGGACGAACTTGAAGTCAAAACTTATTTTATCGAAGCCGATGTTCAAGACCCGAGCTCTCTCGAAATGAAGTGCTCGTGTACAGCACTGTGACAATACTGATAGTGTTGATAAAATATAAATTATTTTTTAATAAAGTAATTGTTAAGTGTGGTACTCTGACATCTGTACTTTCAGAATCATATATTTCAACCATGTAGTATTATGTATTTCATTCTGAAAAATGTACAGATGTTATTAAAAGTTGTAAAGATATAAAATACACCAGAAAAAATCCGGACGTGTCCCAGTCGATTACCTATTTACATCATATTTCTTTAATAATTACTATCATTAGTTAATTACTAATAATTATACATCATTTGATTTTTTTTTCTATGTTGGCTGGTGGAGTTTTTCGAAAATAAAAGCTTTTAAAAATCATATTTTTGAGTGTAGCAAAGAATATACAAAGGTTTTCTGAAGATTTTTTTTTGTGAATACTTGTACAATATCAGAAAGCTTACTCCGAAAGCTTACTTTGTACTTTAAGGAGGTAATTTTTCGATTTTCTCAACATTTATCCCAACCACTGTTATAAAAAAAAGTGTTCCGGAAACACTGACCTAGTAAACCTATCTCTCGTATGAGTGAATATTTTTAACATAGATTTGTAAACAAAATGTCTACCAAACATAAGTTAAAATTACTATTCGAGCAAATTAAAATTGTTTGGCGAATACTTGTTTATCAAGGATTTGTTTTTTTTTTAATACATCTACAGGATGTCCCACGGACGAGTTACAAATGTAAACCTTTTTTCTATTTAATATCAAAAAATAATTTCTTTAATGTACCAGATAGATCTAAAACTTAACAAATAAAAAAAAGGTTTCAAAATTTTAAATGGAGAAAGATTTCTGATAGAAAGTTGTTCATAGACATAAAAATTAAAAAGAAGCACTTGTCGTATTAAAATCAATACTAATACGTTTTTGGCTATTGTATTATTGAATATTGAATATAAAAAAAGGTTATCATGCATTTGTAACACCTCCGTGGGACATCCTGTAGATGTAACTAAAAAAAAAACAAATCCTCGATAAACAAGTATTTGCCAAACAATTTTAATTCGCTCGAATAGTAGTTTTAACTTATATTTGGTAGACATTTTGTTTACAAATCTATGTTAAAAATATTCACTCATACCAGAGAGATAGGTTTACTAGGTCAGTGTTTCCGGAACGCTTTTTTTTATAATAATTTTTATACGTCGTTTCAAAACTATTTTTACTTATTAATTACAGAGTAAAAATATATTGAAATTTAATTATGTGTAAAAAAAATGTATTACAATAATATATACATAAGTACTTAAACTACCTAAACCTAATATTATATTTAAAAAAATAGCTCTCTTATCTACAGCTGTATTAAAATGTAGTATACATATTTGTAATAAAATACTATTATTATATTAGGATGCATAGATAAGGGAGAGAAATCACTATTTTTTTAAATTTTAAATTTAACTTTTGGTTGGATAAATAAATTATACATTTTAACTTACATGTAGAACAAGGCAGATATATTTAATTAAAAGTTGGTAAGATAGTTACAGCTTTAAATTAGATAGGTACGCCACTGTTAAGTGGACATTAATGTAAGCGAATAGTAAGTAATATAACTTATTATTTGAAGATAACATTTAAAAATAAATTGTTTAAATGTTATTGATTTTAATTTAAATTTCAAATTACCTTAAGTACTTTCCTAGTCAAATTTCCTTTCAGAAAAAGGGCTATTATATGTAAATCGAATCAAAATTGCTAAAAGAAAACTTGTTCACAGAAAAAAAGACGTTGTTAGGACCAAGAATGGGCTGAAAAATAAATTATTTTGATAAAAAATAATTTTTGATTTATCAGTTATCAATATTATTTATTATAATATAATATCTCAATATAATAAATCTAATAAAATAAAATATTAAAAAAATATTTATTTTAAATTAGCATCACTTCAAAAATAATTTATTCTTTAGTGACGGCGCCTCTTTTAGGAACTCGGAATTTGGCGTTTGGGACGATTGACCCCTGTAGCCCTCTCTAAATATGCCTCTGGTTGGGATAACTGTTGAGAAAATCGAAAAATTACCTTCTTTAAGTACAAAGTAAACTTTCGGAGTAAGCTTTCTTATATTGTACAAGTGTTCACAAAAAAAAAATCTTTGGAAAACCTTTGTGCATTCTTCGCTACACTCAAAAATATGATTTTTAAAAGCTTTTTACTTTCAAAAATTTCCACCAGTTAACATAAAAAAAAAAAAAAAACAAATGTTGTATAGTTATTCTTTAAAGGTACGTATTATCAAATTTTGCAAACATTGTGTTTAATCAAATAATAAAACACAATTTACAGATTATGCATATGAATTGAGGTAAATTAGAAAAAGAAGTTTGTTAAAAAAATACTTATCTAAAAAAAAAAAATTAACTAGTAGTTATATATTTACACTATACACACATTTAATATACTTATAGATCTTATGAAATTTTGGACTGAATTGATTCCCATAAGATTGAAACAACCTGAAAAATAGTGGTTTTTTTCATTTCACGACTACCCTGCTAAGTATTTTCAGTTATTACCTATACTGATTACTAGCTAATATTATTTTTTAAAGAATTTGTTTTGGTATATCGGTATGATTAGACAGAAAACTTATATTTGGTTTTTGTTGACGTGGTAAAATTTTCAAAACAATTAAGCCGTTTTTAAGTTTTTTATAGACATTTTAATTTTGGGACTTTTGTACGTAATTTTTATTAAGTAGGTGGTAAAATTGTTAGACATAATAAAAATACTTGAACATTTAACAGAAGGTTCATTAAGAGTCTTTGTGGTAAAAAAAGAAAATTTAATTTAATTTTGTATTTTTTTTGAAAGGAATTTTTTCGAATATCATTTGAGTAAAAAAATTATGTGGAATGAATCTAGTTACTAGTACATGCAAATTTTTCAATTGGTTTTGTTTTGAATCTGTTTTGCCGATTTAAAAACGATGGTGAAGTCAGAATTGAGTGGACTGACAATTATTTTACCATAATATGACATATGCATTGTTGACAAAGCATCACTATCAATTGAACTGTACTCAGGATCGTTTTTTCGTTAGGAAAGGTTTATCGTTGCTAACAAATATACATGAAACTACCTATAACAGTGGTTGCAACCGACCCTATTATTTTAGGACGTTTTATTTTTAAATTTTTTTTTAGGATTAATTTCGATTATTATCTTGCAATTGTATCTTTGTCGGGAGTGACCCGTTAACTGTAAAATATTTAGGGAGGAAAGTAGAGTAATCCGAATATAATTTACCGTAACACTGGAGCGATGCTCTGTAATTTAAGTTTCTAAAAGAGATGCACAATAAATTTGAATAGCTTTAGAACTGACAATTGAGGGACACAATATCTTGAGGGTTTTTGTGATTTTGATTGATGGGATGAAGACACGATGAAATGGTTTGATTCTGAAATTTTACAAAACAAAAGTTTGTGCGACAGTAGTATAATATTATAATATCTAAGTGCAGTGTATGAATTTATATATATATAAAAGATAATTTATAAATAAATAATGAAATAAGATAATTCATATAATATATGTGATATATGTACATAATATTTGTATTATGTTGTTGATACACTGTTTAAGTCTTAAATATTGATAATATTGTGGGTTTTTTTTTAAATATTAGAAGAGTTATGCATAAATAATAGTTATAATTACGATTATAGTAATATTATAATAGTTATTATAATAGTTATAATTAAAACTGTTTTATTTTTTTTTAAAGGGGAAAAAGCATCCATTGAATACTATATCCGTCCTGGGATTACGACAGTGGGTAGTTTAATGCCCCTCGCCACAAAGCATACGAGGTTATGGAGAATTTGGAGACGTTTATGGACTCACCCGGCCATTTAGACGTGGTATGTCCAGCGGAGGTGTCTAATATGAGTGATAGACCGAAATTATATATTTTTTTATTGTTTTTGGGGAAACATTTTTTTTCTAATTTCCATATTATGAAATATGATCAAGATGAGTGGGAAATATCTATGCTGGTGATATGGGTCTCAATAATCTGGGGGTTCTGTTTTTTATTTTCTCGAATTTGCATCTAAAGCTATGTCGATAACAAGACTTGAAAAACAAAAACAGCAATAATTAATAAAATGTATATACCATCTTTTGATAGTTTAAAAATACTGAAAATTTAGTGATAATAATATTATTATTGGACATTAATTACAATATCACTCATTAGATCGTTAGGCTAACAATACTGGTTCATAATATAAATCTACCGTATCATTTATGGGCATAATATCATACAATGGTGAAATATAGGTACCTATGTGAATAATCATATTCACATTATAATAATAATAATAATAATAACAATAATCATATTATTTAATTTTGATAGTTAAGATCCAAAATATTTATTTAGCGGATGGCTGGAGGAGCTACACACTATATGAAGTGCCTGGTACTTTACGGGAGGCCTGTGGACGCTTTGCTTACCCAAACACACGTAAAGGTTTGCAATCTCTTTAATGGGTTAGTGGGGCCTGTTTTCCATCTGTGAAAGGCATGCCTGAGCACTCCGGTCTCAGTCAATCAATCCCGTTGCCAGGTTTGAGACCTTCTCTTCTCCGGCTTCTAGCCAAATTTTCTCCCTGGGTGAAGCACTCGAGGAAGCGTCATAAGCATCTGGTGAACCGGCCAACAGTTGGTGTATCGTGTATAGTAGGACAGCCAAGTCGTCTGAAAGTCTACAGGTTCGGCCATAGATGCACCAAAGGTCGCGGTAAGGTCGGTTGCCCTGGACTTGAACTATTCCATAATATTACTATAATAAATTAAATTATAATTACAATAGGGACATAATAATATTTAGGATTTCTTGATTTTTTTTTTTATACATATTTAGCATAACTTTAAAGTTATGCAGTTAAACGAATTGGTCAACTTGCCCAGCTTTGCTCATATTTCCCAACGTCCCAAAAGTATAATAACCCGTCCCGACAGTGTTGACA